CATATCACATGGCTATTTCCCCATGTGGTTTAATAGTCAAATAATTTGGAAAAAATATCAAAATGTTTGCTATTCTTTGATTTAAAAAAAAAAGGGTCAAAATTTAAAATATTACTACTAATTTGTCCAATTAATCAAGTTTTAATAAATTTTATGTATTAAAATATTTTGTTGGATGAACCACTGGCGGAACTTAATAGGGGCTAGGGGGGCTGTTGACCCCCCGAGATTTAATTTTTTTTTTTAGGTATTTTGGTACTATATTTTTTGAATATTACTTTAGCCCCCCTAAAGTTTTTACAAATATGTATCTATCCTTAATTTTTTTCCTTCTCCATATATATATATATATATATATATATATATATATACCATATATCTATAAAAATATAAAATAAATTGGTAAAAACTTGTATTATTTGAAATAAAATTTATGACTATTTACTTACTTTTGAATTTTTTTATCAATAACTCTAAAAATTAATATGAGACGATGCCATGAATCCCCAAAATATTAAGTACGATACATTATTAGAATAATTTGAATTAATTTAGATTTTTTTGTCATGCTTAAAATACGATAACATTATAACATATATCACATTTTAATGAAAACATATCAATATAAACTTATTTTTGCAATGTATTGTGAACCTAAATTTTTTTTCGGGGCGCTGCCCCGATCCCCGAAATTTTAGTTAGCCCCCCCTACATTTTCATCCTGGTTCCGCCCCTGGGATGAACTAAGGCTTATTGGCAACAGTAGTGTCATAATTATTCATTTAAATTGAAGTAACTAAGAGTAGATCTAGAGTATACACGCCTTCTCCAGAATCAATATTATACGAGTTGACTCATGATTACGATGCTTCGTTATGTACAATACTCACGAGTCACTCAGAAACAACACGACGTAAATTATAGGCTAAATTAGGGTCAACCCCACAAGATAAGGCCAAAGTTCGAAAACTCTCCTTTTGTTTGGGTAATTATAACTAGCCCCTCAATTATGTGTTGTCTTAAACATTCATCCTCATGATTCCAAATTTACCTACTGCAAAAGGATTTTTTCGTAAAAAAATATATAGTTGAGGGGAATAGTTGTAATTATCTAAACGCAGAGTTTTTTTTTAGTATTTAACATTATCTCGGAAGTGACCATAATTTATCATAAATTATAAAGTACCATTGGAACCAATAATATTGGTATCCAGGTTAATATCCATCATACTATTTATTCTTTTTCCCAACAATAAATTTATAGGGTAAATTACGGCCACCTCTCAGATAAGATCAAATTGCAAAAAGAACTCTCATGTTTGAATAATTAAAACTATCCCTTCAACTATTTATTGTCTTATGAAAAAACCCTTATTCAGTATGTAAATTTTTCACCATAAGAGTTAATATGTAAGATAATACATACTTATGAGGTGATTGTAATTATCCAAATATAATAATTTTTTTTTCGTAATTTTAAATTATTTCAAGGGTGACCGTGATTTGCCGGAAGCTATCATACATGTGTTAGTTTAACATTAGACATACTTAAAAAAAATATGCTAATTAATAAAGTGTATGTCTAATTCTAATATAATATAATAAAAACATTCTTGTTTCTTGTCCAAATCAATGTAAACATCCATAAATCAATAAATCAATAGTCCATCTCCACATGGACAACACCCTATACTATAGCCCCACTCTTTTTTTATTTCATTAAATTAAATTAAACAAAACATTTTTATTTATTTATTTTTTATTATTCTTTTACACATACATTTAATAATATTAATTATTCAACGACCAGTGGTCACTATTATCGTTATTATTCAGGGGTGAAAAGGAAACCAAAGCGCGTATGACTCACTCTCTATTCCTCAAATACAGA